ATCACCCCAACATTTCTCTGTTCTCTTTCTTTTAGCATCTCTCATTCTTTTTGAGAAATACCATATGTATTGAAAGATAAAATAAGCGTTCAGATATATCCTATATCTTTCTATACTAATGACAGCATCTCATGCCTTGGTTTACTCACCACTGTAGTAAACTATTACAAAAGTTTAACTCTGCTTGTGCTTTCAACTTCTGTCCTAGAATTCTCCTTTAAACCATGCTAATCTGGCTTTTGTCCATATGAGTCTCTGAACTTGTTCCTGTAGTTATCAATGTTATCAACAGTGACTAATGCTTTGTTAAATCCATTGATCAATTAGTTCTTTGTCCTCTGAGCTTCTCTAATTACATTCACATCTATTCTTGTGCTTTAAATTCCAACAGTGCATAAGTATGGCTTCCAAATTATTTCTCCAGCCAAGACCTGTCTCCACTACTTCAGTTCATATATCTAGCTGTTCACTTAACATGCTTAGCAGACATCCCAAGTCAAGTGAAGTATGCCCCAAACTAAAATTCTGGTCTCTATCACATAAGACTTGCTTCCCTTCTAGGATTCTCCTTAGTTGACAGCAATTCTGCCCTTCAGTTGCTCATGAAATTTTTATGACATCCCTTTTCTTCTTGCAAAGTTGAATTGGTCAAGAAACAGTCATGGAATGAAATACAGCAGCAACAACAAAAGCTTAAAATCCTACTTTTCTAATTCCTCCATCAGAGCCACCATCAACTCTCACTTGAATCACCACAGTGTCTCAGTAACTGCTTTTGTTACTCTTTTACTCAAAACGATGCAGGGCTCTACTTTCCACCAAGTTAAAGTCAAAGTACCTGAGCTTACCTTCTGATTCTCTTGCTATTTCTAGAACATTCAATCTTCATCTTCTAAGGATATCCCCATCCTATTGAACAAGCAAAGAGATTTTTTAAGTTTCTAAGACCACATACACTCTTGTATTTGTATTATTATACTCATTTCTTTCTTTCACGTGTATAGATATATATTTACTAAGTTTATTTTTGAACAATTTTAAATTTATTCAAGATAATTTGTTTTATATGAATTCTTGGATTGAAACAATTTTCAATTATAAAAAATTAACTCAAGACACTCTCAAATGACTTCTTTTGTATTGCTTTGACATAAATATGGTAACTCTAACAAATCACAAGCAAAGTTGTTAAGTAAAGATTTTTGGAGGATTGATTTTCATGGGCACAGTGTTCCTACATCTATTAACCATTTAGGCACTTTGAAATGTTTTAGAGGCATTTAGTCTAAGTATCAATTTCAAGTTTATTACTATTATGAAACGACTCCTTCATGAAAATGGAAAGAATAAAACTTAGTGCCACTCACAATGATGAATTAATGATGCTTGCTACTCAGAAAAAGTAAAATATTAGTTTCAAAGGATAGATTTGGCTTTGCATAGTCAAAGGGCTACTGAATGACATTAGAGTCATTGCATAAATCTTTAAAGATGCTCAAATTTCTTAAAAATTAATATGGAATCACTGTATCAGCCAAATAGCCATTTAATTATGTGATCATAACAAATTATTTAGATAATAGTCCATGTGAAGAAAGTTAATCTTTAAAGTGACTTTTGATACTTCTGCTGCTGTTTTCCTCCCAAAGAGTACATGATTGTCCTACAAATATAATTTTTTCCAAATGTGCACATTTAACTTGCAGTGTGATTGATAAGACAGATAGAGATTCTAAGCATATCAGTCAAAAGAGAGCTATAAAGATCAAAAAAGACAATAACTCAAATGGTAAAAATAATTCTAGCTAGCAATGTGCTCACTCCAGCCAAAAAGCCTGAAGTCTTCTTGGGGACTAGCTTCTCTAATTTTGAAAACCCCTAGTTACAGAGGCTAAACACAAACCTTGCACGGGTTAAGTAACTTGCAGAGGATCACAATGGTTGCTAGTTTTAGAGCCAGACTCCAATCTTGACACTCTGTTTTCATGTTCTCAACTGCCGATATACCATATTTTCTTAGCTAGTCTAGTATAAAATAATAGGTAAACATTTAAGAGAGTAAGGCTTTAGACTTACAAATAGAAAGAAGGGACTAAATATTTTAAACCCCTTCTATGTTCCTGACACAGTGTCAAGTATGTAGGAAGTTATCTCATTTTTTATCTTTGTACTCGTATTTGGGAAAGCATTTATGAGAATATAAGTTCTGGATTTATATGGAGTCTGGCAACTGAAGATGAAAAATAAATGAATGGTTTAAGATTTGGGAAGTAATGTTTCTAATAAGAAGAAATCATGAGTTAGTGTTTGCTTAGAGAAGAGAATGTTAAGGAGAAACTTATCTCGATATCATAAAAAAGCATCTTATAAATGCACACTAACAGAGTTTTGTTGCTTTCTCAGGCCAATAAAACAGAACTAAAGCTAATGATATGGTAGTGGAAGTGGGTGAGGTTGTAGATTGCGTGAATGTAAGCATAAGTACAGTGCTCGTGTGACACTGAGCAACCAAGATATAGCAGGACCAGAGGCAGAGACAGAGACAAAGATAGAGACACACAAGTTATTTTAGGAAAGCAGTTATATCAATTCTCATTCCATTCTGCTCCAGCATTCTCCTTAGAGAAATAAATATAAATATATAAGTACATGTGGTTTTCAATCTGTGAGTTATGTGGAATTGTCTCTATTCTTAAGGAGGAATCTGAAACTCAGAGTATTTAAGACGTCTTTCAAATTTCACACAGCAATTAAGTGGGAAGTCACAGCAGCCCCATTAGAGAAGAAAAAATAAAGCCCAAAACTTAAAGGAACTTAGTTCCAATGTGAAGTTGGCCACTTTCTATCTCTTGACTGAGAGCACATTATTTCCTAACACTTTACTTGCAAAATAAAAATACATCCAAAGAGTATTGGGAAGACTAAATGTGCCAATGCAGTGGAAGTATTTGAGTACAATTATAAATAGGCTTCAAAGAATTAATGGAAGAGTGAACTTCTGTCTTTGTGTACAGCTGGTTTAATGAATCTAACAACAATCTAACAATCAAAATGTTCATTTTTTAATAAATAAGGTTTTTAACTAAATTTTTAAAATCTGTTTTTGCCAACATGTTTTTTGTTGTTGTTGTTGTTGTTGTTTGGTTTGTTTGGGATTTTGTTTTGTTTTTTGAGGAGCTCCTGTTTTTTTGCTATTTGTTTGTTTTGTTTTGTTGGACCAGGCTCTTGCAGGTAGCCCACAGTGGCCTTGAACTTATGATCTTCATGCATCCACCTCAAAGCACTGGTGTTACAGGGATGCATCACCACTTTCAGCCTTGCCAGCATGTTTTTATTTGAATACTTCTCATTTTTAAATTCGTGCATGGCATAAATCATTCTTGCTATTTGACACATCTCTAAAATCATGCATTGCATTCATTGTGGTAGATTGTAATTACAGTAAGAAAAAAAAGCAGTAGCTATGACATTATATTTCATGGTGTTACCACCTATCCAATGTTCTTGGGAAGTATTAAAAAGATGGGCTTTATGATATTGGAGAATCTGCCCACCTTTGTAAAAGTTAAACCCAACTGAGAGTAAATGTGAGCCATGAAAACTACTTGTAATTTCAGAGAAGAGGTTTAATATTTCTTGTACTTCTTTGTATATTATTCACTTATCCTACTGGAATGGGAATTAGTCTTGCACTTTCCATTACTGAAAAACTGTAGAAATTTTTAACTCCCATAGACCTAATGGTTATGTCTCAGTCACTGAGAAAAATGCTATAGCATTAAAATAGCAATAGAATCCACTGGTTGTAAATAAAGTATAAGGGAGACATTACTGAACAATTACAGCCAAGCAAGATAATTAAACTCAGAGATGCTGTTTCCTGCTTTTCTGATCTAAGCAATGAAGCAGCTCCACTGGCTTGTCCACAATTTGGATGTCCCAAGACCACGTCACTCTTCTTTCCTTCCACTTTCCCTAAGGAAAATTCTGGTTCATAAAGGAATGAGAATTGCTATGACTTCTTTCCTAAAATGACTTGCGCTTCTTCTGTGTTTGCATTTTGACATCTTATTATAAGACGAGCTAACATCTATTATTAATTGATGCACTAATTAAAGCCATGCTTGCAGTTTCCATTAGCTTATTCCCTAAATTCTCCAGAGTTGGCTGTCTGGTTTTAATCAAAACCAAATGGTAGTCCAAGCCTGGAGCAGCTAGGAGGAAGTCATTCAGAGGAGGCACAAGAAAGCACAAAAGATAAACAGATGAGAGTTCACAAAATGTGTGTCGGACAAAGGTTGCAGATATTGAGAGTGGCTTTAGAGTTGTGATTCGGAGACCCTGCCACACTACATGGAAGCAGTTGCAAGTGTTTAATGTCAGCAAGACTCTAATATGATCAAGATGGAGTCTGTCTTCTGCTTTTCCAGCCCTGGATTTGTGTAACTCCAGAGGACTCTGACGAAAGGTAATGCTGCCTAGGCTGGAACACATACTACTCTATTCTGGGAAGAATTCTAGGGACTGGAGAGAACTTGAAGAAAGCATCCTAGTTACTAAATTCTGTGAAATTTATTGAGCTTTTCTCAGGTACAGAATGTAAGCTTCCAACATTTTATATTTTAAGTAATGTGGAGGAAAAAAAGGTTTTAAAATTTAGAACAAGTCCAGTACTAAAAACTCTCAATTCATCTTGCTCTCTTAAAAGATCATTTGAAATGAGAGCTAGCAAAAGTATTTTGATTAAACTTTGTATATACATTTTATACAGTGGAAAGAAAGGCTGAAGGTGGGGAGAAGACTATGTTTTCTTTCTTTTTTTTCATAAGCAGTGTGGAATAGAAAAAGTTGGAGGATTTTATGACTCTCTAGCTAATCACCTCAAGAGCTTTGACAAACTCACTTCAGTTCTGTGTAAAATCAGAGCTCCTAAAACGCCCAGGCAGCTCTGCTGTCTCCCCCTCCCCTCTGCTCATGCAGGCTTTCTCAGATGCAAACTTCTCAGAGGCAGGAAATACTTTCCAGGCAATCTGGGCCTGCTTGTGGAGGCCCCTTTCGCAAAACATCAGTCTGAATTTAGTAGACAGAAGTCACTAGGAACGCCTTGACAGGATCCGGCTTTAGCTGACGCTCCAGCTGTGGAGGGTGTTTTTGTTAGAATCACACACTGCGTAAAACTGCTTAGAATAGAGCCATGATCTCAACCACGAAATGTGAACTTATATTTTGGAGAAGCTAACGGGACGGACTTCTTTCCTAGCCTGACTTTTGCACGGTGTCATGCCTTGGAGTTGCAGCTCCTCCTTGTCTAGGTAAGACACTGGGGACTGTCTTTATGCTCTGAGGGATCTTTGAAGAAGTAGAGAGAGTGCTGGAATTATTAGCATCTTGCACTGAGTTGTTGACTTCCTAGGTTTTAAAGCTAAGTCCTGAAATCAGAAGTGGGAAATGTTTGGTAAGTAGAAAATTGTGAGTCAAATTGTTTTAGTGAAATGTCATTTCTAAACCGGGCTCCATATAGATTTTATTGTTTTCCTCCAAAAAGTAGCATCTTATTTTGATCCTTTTTTAATCTTACTTATTAATATGTCTATAAGGACTGTTTTCCTATTATATGCCATAAAATGAAACAAATACATCTTCTCACACATAAGTAGGAGGTGAAATTGAATTCTTCCTTCCTCCTCTTCGTTTCCCAACAAGGCATAGTACATAGCACTAGTGACTTTATCTCAGTAATGAATCTCCAAAAAATATTTTGTGTGTCATTTAAAACTGTGAAGATTGGATACTTCAGTACTTCAAACCAACTTCAACTACATGTCAAGTTGCTAGTGTACATCTTAAAAATGACACTTTTTAAAAAAAATAAGTGGACACATGAAATTTCAGAAATTATTTTGGTTCTAATGTATTTCATTTCAGTTTCAGAAATCTAAATATGAGAAATGAAATGAATTTAATTTATACTAAATTTCCTGGATTCACTGTTCAGGTAATAGGTTAATATTTTGAATAATTAAAGTGAATCCAGTGACAATTGTTGCTATTTTAAGGCAGTCAAAACCAGTACAATCATATGAAAACTGACCATATGACTATACTTCTTCCAATCAGTAAACTTTGTTTCCATCAGACTATAATCTCTTTAAAGTGTCTTACTGTTTAGATGTGCAATCTATGAGCAAAGAAATTTAGTCATGACTTAAATAACACAGAGTAGTATAGCATACTGTTGTACTTCTGAGAATTTAGAATGAAAATCATTAGATTTTAGAAATAATATGGAATGTATGTAAATGAACAAATATCCATGCTTATTTCTAAATCTATACACAAAAACATACTAAATGAAACATGGAGAGCTTTTTTGACAGTTGGATCCTAATAAATCCAGTAAGGGCTGTAAGTATAAGCTATTATATAGCACATTATGACCATTGGCTATGTTAGCTAATGTAATCTTATTTTCTGTGCTAAAATTATTTATATTGGTGACTTCTAATTATTCACCAACAATTTAAGTTTTGTTAAGAGTTTTAACATATAAGAAAAGGAATGCACTTTTAAATTTTTTTTTAAATGAAATTCTGGGGACCAGAGGTATAACTCAGGGCTACTGCACTTGTCTGTAATGCATAAGGCCCTGGGTTCATTCTCCAGTACCAAAAAAAAAAAGAAGAAGAAGAAGAAAAGAAATTCTAACTTATCTAAATTATGATTGAATAAATTTCCTGAATAAAACATTAAGAATAAGATATCACCAGTTCTGACACTGTCTTGAGTTTGCAAACATGGAAGCTGGGAAACGACATTTGAAAGTAACCTGTCCAAGGTCACCCCACTGGCTAGTAGAAGAGATGACAGTGGGTCCATGGTACACCAATTCGTAATGTGGACGTCATTGTGCCGCAATATCTTGCTCTCAAAAAATAATTGTGCATGAGGAAGTGAAAAGGCTACTTTGCAGAAAAAGAAAACGTGGAGTTCCTCTTTAAAAAAAAAAGAATCAAATTCACGAAATAATACAATTTTCTCAAATACAAAAGATTTATCATGTCTTCAATAAACACTTTAAAGAAATAGCTTGTTTTACGACTATGTTGTTACATTTCGTGCTTATGCCAAGAAAATCAATCCATATGCTAATAATTATATGAATTTTAAACTGACGATTCTTAAAAAATAGGTCTAGAAAAGAGCTTGTTTACTTGATATTCTCGTATTCAGATGGGATAATAAAAAACCCATCTCAATCAGTGAATTTTGTAAGTGATTTTACAACTCCCCATTGCAATTGGTTTAAGAATCTCATAAATCTGTTCTTTCTATTATCTAACACAAATCTCTATTGCTGCAGCCTATTTCCATTTCTACATATTTTTTCAATGAAAATACAAAAAAGTCTAAATGGACATATGAAAACAAAAGTGTATACTTCTAGACCAAATAATCCCAGTTTATTTTATCTTCCTTCTGCAGCTTTTAATACTTCATGCATATATACACTTTGAGTCATCTACAAAATCCTTCCATTATAGCACTTTTTTACAGTATATAAAGAAATGTCTTACCAGTGCAGCATAAGATAGGACAGTGGCTCGTCCGTCTGTGTCATTCATCATATATGACAATAAATGCCACTGACTATCTTGATGCTCTGGAGTTTCCAAGCAAGAACCTCTCTCATAAAACTAGTATATTCTGTGTTTAATAGATGCTGAGCTTTTTGTTTGGTTTGGGTTTTTGCCATTTTCATGTACAAGATTGAGATTCTTGATGTCATTACTACTTACAAGATGTACTGTTTAACGCTCTTTCCTAGTCAGCACACTGCACATTGATGGAATGAGGAATAAATGCAGCAAAACCTTTAAAACTAACCACATGATTACTAGAGGGCCCAGTAAAAGAAAGCACACAAAATTTGGATTTTTTTCTTAAGGACATTATAATTTTTTAAATAAGATTTTTCTATCCCCTTCTAAACCTACCCATACTGTATACCTTGCTACCAAGGTACTATTTAATCTTATTTCTAGAGGATTATGTCTTATGCATTTAAAATAAATCTAAAATGGATACCTTAAAATCTTTTTTTAAGTTTTCTTGCTTCTTGGAAAATGAATGAATGGGTATTATCTTACAATGATAACAACTAGTTAGGAGTCATTGTAGTACAGCACAGTTCCAAATGAGAAATGATCCAGATCTGAAGCAAAGATTTTAGTACCAGAACCAATAACTGTACTTGAGAAAAGGTCCCCGGAAAGCACAATGTAAATGAAACAGGTTTGCAGAGAAATATGCCTCTTGATTGGCTTTCATGTGATAAACAGTTTACTTCTATGGTTCTGTTTTGACATTAAGTTGCCAGTCAGCTTAGTTTTGAGAAATAGATAGGCTTAGTTTTTAAGAAAAAGGTGATGTGCACACTTTGAAATTCAGTTTAAATTGCTAATTTTCATTTGGCAGATTGCAGATTTATATATAAGCAAACTTGAAAAGATTAAGTTGATTTGGTTGAAAATGATGAAAAACAATGTACACATCATGCATATGCACGTGCTCATTAATTGAGATGGATGAATGGAAAACACAACTGTAGTTGGTGGTATGTGTGAAAACATGGTTTTTGTATTTGATTGAAATAGCAAAGTGTTTAAACAACACGATTCAAATATATCAAGGAGATAATCAGTTCTACAACTCAAAAATGAGTAAAAGTAGGAAGATCAAAGTTTAAAAATTTAGTGTTCCTTTTTATTTCCATCAATCAGCAAATTGCCTAGCATTTTAGGAATTGTCAATAAATATTTGTAAGATGAATGGGAGGAAAAGAAAAATGGGACTGAAGAATGGTAGTATGTGGAAGATGGACTTTAATTGTTTTCCAGATGTCCTGTAATGATAGAATAATAATTGTTAAAGAGGAAGAAAAAGAAGTAGCTGGCAAAAGGCATCAGAGGGTGATCCCAGAGGTTAACAACACTATTACAAGATGACATTACAATTCATTAACAACCAGAAGCATGAATGAGCTTCCAGCAATAGTTAATTTGAAATTAAAAGTTACACAAGGCCAGTGTTTGCAGGGCACTAGTGGATTTTCCACAATCTACATGTGGTGGTACACTGAGAAAGTCATGCACAGAGTCAAACATTTCATTTCATCTTTGCCATTTGATGCTCCTTGATTGGAATCATTGTTTCCTATTTTTGTCTAATCACATCTATATTAGGATAAGATGGGCAGGCAAGGGATAGTTTCAGGTATACTCAAGTCATGGATTCTACAGCAAAGATAAGTCCAAAAACAAACATTGTCATCACCATCATCATCATCCCCATGGTGTCATTTAGCATCTAGTGAGTGCTTGCAATATGCCTTGAACTAGGTGCTCTGTGTATAATAGTAACTCATTATTATTATTTTAGTCTCAACAATATTTCATTATTCCCATTATAGAGGTGAGGAATGCAAGGCACATAGAATTTAGACAAACTACCCAAATCATCACAAAAAATGATTATTCATCTTGCCTTCACAAAAAAGAAAGATAACAATCTCTGCTCACCCAAAGGCATTTGACATTCAACTAGTTGCTTTGTTTTGCCAATATTACTTCCTTATAAAATTAGGGCAATGATAGTAACTATCTCATCCGGTATTTGTGAATATTACTACTAAAGGAAATAGTGTAAGTAACACAACAAATACGGTTCCTGGTTTCTCTGATAGGCTTAATAAATATACTATATGCTAAATAAGCTTAATATTATATTATTACTATTACCATCAAAAGTTGGTTGTTTCCTAAATATAGAACTGTACCTACTGATTATTTAAAAAGCTCAAATGTATAGGTAAGTAACAAAATAAGATGAAATTATGGATATAAGCATAGAAAACAAAAGTTGATATCGGGGCATTGACCCCTGGTAGCTGACAGAAGTAGTTAAATTCTCAATGATTTCCTATTCTTGATTTCAGAGAAAGTCATGCTTATGGAATGACTAAACATTCAGTTGCCTGTTGTCACCTTGCTATCTAAGCACCTGTGTTGATGTAGCCATATCTCTTATTTACACTTAGTGATTGCTGTGTCTACTGTTAGAGTGTTCTTAGAAATGATAGCAAAGCTAAAAATAAAAAGGCCACTTACAGCAAAGTACATCTCACTATGATGATGATAAAGCATTATAGCCCATGTCCCTTGTTGAACAGAAATATCTTTCTATAGTGAGGCAAAACCAGATTTCAGTCATACTATTTTGCCATCAAAAAGGAGGGGCAGCCAAAATTCTAACA